TTCGTTTGTCAGTATATCATATCTGTTTGTATGTCCTTTTTGAATGCCGACGATCCACCCAGAAAGAATCAAAAAGCCAAGGATCTACACAACTTGGGAGAGACGAACGCCGACAATTCTTCGTGCATGGATGGGACAACCCAATGGGCTCCTACTCTCCCAGGCAGTTTGGGTCTCCGACCGGCACTGGTGGCGGCTGTGGCACTGGACCGGCGCCTGCAAGAAGTTTAGCTTGGCCAAAGGTCTTGGAAGGCCGGCTCTGAACAAATTCAGGAGCACCGGACCTACATATATTCTAATCCTTGGGAGAAGCGGACACTGCAATGGTTGGCGGATGTTAGTGGGACAATCCAGAAGAGAGCGGCTGCATCAACAGGCGGCGCCCAGCTATTCCAATGAAGCCTTCACACAAACTACATCGCTACATCATGCCAATCAACTATCAGCCTGCATCGGCAGCCAAGCCACTGGCAGCGGAGGAGCCTGTGCCACGAGCAAGGAGTTCAGCTTGGGCACACACTCACTCTGTACAGATTCTGGTCTGGACACCTGAGGAATTCTCATCTGAAGCCAAACCATAGATTTGAAAGGAACAACATGGAGGAATCAGCTGCAATTGGTGAATGACTGTTTACCTTGGGTTCTGCACGGTTTGTGCAGCTCCAGCATTGATCAAGAACTATTGACCAACTTGTCAGATGGTTGGGATTTGCGGATTCCAAGATGAGATGGACTAGTTCAGCAGGTTCGGTTACAAGTGATTCATATTGATCAGCACATGAAGGGGTGTCATGTAACCCGTCGAAAACTGCGTTGATTCATTGAGACACAACTTGGGTGCTTTGCCGGCCTGCATGTGTCAGAATATCTGTTGGTATGTCATGTCTTCTTATAATGCTGACTATCCACCCAGAAAGCATCAAAAAGCCAAGGATCTACACAACTTGGGAGAAACGAACGCTAACAATTCTTAGTGCATGGATGGGGCAACCCAATGGGCTCCAGCCATTTGGGGTCAAAACCTCAACGGATTGGAATCGACTGACATCTCGTCGCCTGGACCCACTTCCAAATACGGATGGATGATTAATAAAAAGTATTCCAAACAAGCATCCACTTAGGACGTGATGTTGTCCATGAATACCTCAATCGCAAGTGTCTTTTGCACTAATGTGCATGAGAAACCGGCAACCCCGACCGCCAGCTTTCCTTTTTGGCTCCACGATTCGCGGCTGTTCACGACTGACAAGCAACTGCGTGGCGTGGCGCTGTTTGGCAATCAAGCATGGACCAGTATCAGTAACCAACTGAGAATGTAAACGTGAGGCATTATCCTTTACCATCCTTTACCTGTAAAATGAAGCATTGAAGGTATACAGTTTACAGGGTTTACATGGTGCGATTGCCAAACACTTGGGGTGCCCTGCCTGCGAGCGCAGTGGGACTTGACATCAGGGTGACGAAATGCGATGGAAACCACGAGAACTCCTCTAAAGACTCTAAAGCACAAGTTGACGGCCGAACAGAAGTTCTCCTGTGATTCCTGGACAAGTCTCCTTTGCTGAAACATGCTTGTTTGACAACCAGGATACAAAAACCATGAGAAATACGTATGTCAAGGTGGCTATGTTCGACCCGAATGGATTTGCATCCGTACATGGACTCAAACAATTCCAACTGGACGATCCATAATCCCGAGTACCTATTAAAAAACGGACCCCAATTAAAAAAAAGTCATGCCGGATCCCCTAAATTCGGTTTATATTTGGTTTTAAATTGCCGCCCTTTCAAGCCGCTACTAAACTACCAACATGGTCGATTTTGGGGGTAGTTTTTTTTATTAGGTTCCCCAAAACTCCACCATGACACGCCGCGCTTACACCAGCAGGCTTTCCTTCCCTCAATGGCACGGACTCACGCAAACGCACTTGCCACCGAGGTCATGCAACACCGCATGGCACAGCGACATCACCTTTCGAAAGCTTTAGCTGTTAGTCTACTGAAGAATCACTATTCTAATGAAGGTTTTTGTAGGGGAAAAGGAAGACCCTTCGATCTGGCGGTTTTTTGCATGTTTGATATGAGTTTAATAAAGGATTTTATATAAAATTTTCCTGGATTACTTTTTGGTTTTGAAACTCTTTCCAGGTGACCCTATTTTGAACACCCCGATTTCAGGGACCCCCTATTAAAAAAAATGCGACCGAGGTTTCCTTATTAGGGGGGGGGGGCCGTGTTTATTATTAGGGGGACGGGATTACTGAGTCCTGCAACATCACGAACGGTGTGTTGCAACTGGTCGGACAAATTCTTCATTGTGACCAGTGTAATCTTTTTGGACGGATCAATTATGATCAATTTATAAATGTTCAGCAGAACACCCCCGCGTTGCTTCGTCGCCACGGTGCTCGTGTTGCCGCGGAATCGATGATGAGGTTGGAAGCTGGCTTTTGCAGCACTGAACTTGAACATCTATGGGTTTTCCTCGAGAAGGACTCCCAGCAGCTTCAGATCTCTGCCGAAGTCGCGGAATTGTTCATGGCTGGTCAGACCAGCGATGTGAACGCGTCTGAGATCTGGGGTGGGCTTCCTGCCCCAGGAAAACCCAGAGACTTAACAGGTCTTTGCCCGTGCAGGCATGCCATAGAGGAAGATGGAATAGCACCTGGCTTTTCCGCGCTCAAGTTGAAGGGGTGGCAAATCCCAGCACCATAGAATGACCTAGAAGTCCAAAACCACCCAAGTAAAGGAAACTGCTTTTTGGATGACTTAAAGACCTTTTGAACAATGGTCTTGGCCTCCCAGGGATAATAATATTCCACCTTTTTGATCCGTTTGGCTTTCAACTCCAATTCATTTGCTATCTTTCCAGCAACTTCTTTTGCAGTTTTTGGAACATCGCTACTAGGAACAAGAAGCTACTAGGGGCTCCTGGCATCGCTACTAGGAGCAAGAACGCTACTAGTAGCTCCTGGCCTTACTACTAGACTAGAAGAACATCTACCAATTCAATCCTTTTCGAGGTAGTGGGAGCCAGGTAGGGTTTCATGGGAGAATTGCTCAAGTGATGCATACATGCGTGCCATCAACACAACACATCCCAAACACACAATAGGTCAATAGGAAGGACTCTGCCAAAAAACGACCCTCAAACCACAAATCGTCATGTCAGGAACGACGGACTTCCACAAAAGACCCTCAAAAGCCCCCCCTGGAAGAAGGAAACTAGACCAGTCTGCCAGTCTACCCATTGGTTGGAGGATGTTGGAGGTCTCCCTGTTTAAATCCACACCCATAATACACGTTGACATACGTTGACCCAACTGTTTGACCCATTGCTCAGCGTTGGGAGGCAAGAAACACTAAGACCACACCAGCCATGAAGGTCATCGTGAGCTGTAGCCCGAAGTACTGCATGGACAGCGCAGTGGTCAAGACCTCAGTTCGCACCGCTTTCGACCTCCGCACCGGCGACTTCTTGGGTGAAGAGGTGTGTTGGGGCGTTGGGTGTGTGGATCTGTGACTTGGTGATGTCCACCCCCGCACAGAAGGGTCCTCAAACACACCACCCACCGGTCTATGCACGCAACTTCTGGTTGCTGTGAAGATGAAAACCTCCATGCAGACGCTTCTCTTTGGTACTCTCACCCCTTCCAGCTCACTGCCAAGCAAACGGACTCCCTCTGGAACCCAGACCTCCATCCCCTTCTCGCACACCATCCATCCAACCCTTCTCCATCCGGCAGAAACCAACCCCTTCGATCACGTTTCAGCTCGCACGAACTCCGCTCTGCACCGCCGCATGGACCGCTCCACCACGCGAGCGACCCACCCCACCACGCTCGCGCCACCGTTTCAGCTCGGATCGATCATCCACATCCGGTCGCCGGACGATGGACACCGAGGTGGCGAAGTTCTTCAAGATGTTGTCCGCGTATTTGATCACCGCCTCGAGTCGGAGGCGTAGCCTCGTTCTGTTTTCGGGACGGTTCATCGGCGAGCCTCGATCCGTTTTCGGAGAGGGATCGCCTCGATCCGTTTTCGGTGTTCGGCCGGTCCGGCTATACGGCTCCGCGGAGCTCGCGAAGCGGCAAAAGCGGAAGACAAAGCAAGCAACGGCGAAGACGAAGAACACCATGCCGCGCATTGCTTCTTCGACCCAAGTAAAGCAAGTCAGTCCCCCCAACCAAGTTGAAGTCTGTGAAAGCCCAACTGCTTTGCTTACTCTTCGTGGATGGAATCTATGGGGCGCACTTAGTCAACGTGGCACTCTTCCCGTACCGGCCCTTCGGTCCCTGGGCTGCCCGGACGGCAATCAGGAGACCTGGCGAAAACCAACGCAGGCGAAGCAACCGAGGCGCAACCGGTGAACGGAAGCCGAAGCGACCGAGGTGAAGAACCGGTGAAGTTATACACATGAAAGCAAGGCGTTTTTTTTTTCCTGCCTGAGGTCATGACATTGGGGGATTGCAATGCTGAAAAGCAAGGCTTCTTTTCCCGCCTGAGGTCAGACGGGATTGGGGATTGCAATTCTGAAATACCGGAAGAGGAGCCATTCGTTGCAAGCATCCTGACTCCTGTTCGACGAGTAACAAGCTCCTTGTCTAAAAAGAACCTGTCATGTCAAAGGTTTCATGGTCAATTCTCCTGTTTGACGAGTAACAAGCTCCTTGTCTAAAAAGAACCTGTCATGTCAAAGGTTTCATGGTCAATTCTACCAAACAATTCAATATGAAAGTGGTCATCAAATCGTGCTTCACAATTATCCATTACCTGTCATCAGAAGGACACCGCCATACTCACCACCATCTATTCCTCTATACATGTATACAGTATATAATTTGATAGCTTCCTTCTCTTTCTGAAGCCATCTGTTCAGACTGTTCAAGTATCTCGCGGTGAGATCTAGGTCACCAACTGGGTTGCTATGATGCCGTCTGCCGTCCGCCGTCCGCCGTCCGGGTCACTCATTGGTCCGACTCGTCGGTGGGTTGGTTAGTCGTGGTCAGGGCCTCCAAAGGCGTTGTTGCAAGCAGAAGCCCAAATCCAGGCATTGTAGCCTCGTGAAGGCTCGGGGAACGCGCACCAAACATCATGCCGCTAGCTTACGACATGTGGGCTTAGTAAACATCATCAAGCATGCATTGGCACTGCTAAGCAGTTCATCCACATGGGATACATAATACATAAGGACCTCTGCTGGAGTTCTGAATCCTGGCTGTCCATCTGTTTTGAGAAGAGAAATCCGTGGTGTGAAGGATAATCCATTATCAAATGTTTGGTTACTCGAGGATCGTATTAACGGTATATACCCCCTTGGTGCAAACAAGATGGAACCCACGAACCCGAATGCAAACACGTTCGAAAAACTAATATGTCCAAATGACACTCTTGTAGGACACTCTTGCGGGACACTCTGTAGGACACTCTTGTAGCACTCTTGTGGGACACTCTTGTAGGACACTCTTGTGGGACACTCTTGT